GTTCTATAATTACACGTATATGTGTAAATTATGAAATTATTCTGTTAATATTTGCTCGGAGAGGTTCCAAATGACTATTAAAGTTACAATTTATTTCGGGTTTCTGGTTTTAACTCAAATTTGTTTTTCGAAACTAACGTCATATGAAATGTGCTTATAGTAGACATTACAGATAATTTTGGAATTTTGGGGACCGGTGACTACATATCATTTTACTTGAGTTAGATATGATGTTGCTCTTTCGATTACCAATCATCTTTCCAAGTTGCTGTTGCTTAAAACAGGCTCTACCTCTAATGAGTAGGTAAGGTATGTTTCATCAGTTTTAGCTCTTGATCCTCGAAGAAACCACCTACCAAATACCGCCGAAGGGATGCCGTGATTCCCTATTTTTTATTGGTGGTATTAAGAGGGTTCAAATCGTATTTTTGAAATGGGACACCAAAGAACTGCGTCGAATGCTTTCATTTTTGCGTTCTTAACGCCTTAGGATTTGACATAATCGTTATTTGAATCATTTCAGCGAAAGCCCATTAACATTTCATCACATAATGACGAAAATGCAAATCCACACAGACTATCGGCAGGCTTTTAACCCTATTCCAAGTTATTACACTTCAAAGGTGAGTTTATATTGCCATCATGGGAATTGATCAGTCTCGTATCATTATTTATAAAAGAACGAATAGAATAAGTTTTCGAAGGTCCTTGATTATCTAATCGAAGCAGTCTATTCAACCTAAGTGATGAGAAGTAACAGCATTGTTACATGGTGTTTTAGTATTAATTTAAATAGGATTCATTGCATTCAAGCCGATATTGCTCAATTCCTTTGCAGGATAACCTTTGCTTTCAAGCTGTGACTATAGTCGGAGAATTGAACTGATCCGAAATTTCTTTATTTATATCAAATGACAAGCGTTTTGATAGTTATCATTAGCCCTTTAGTTGACTTCAGGCTTCACAAAGAGGAGGAAGAACATCAAAGTGACAAAAAAAGTCGAAAGGGGGGGGGGACAGAAGTGTTTCAAAGACAAAGGTAGAAGAAATGCGAGGTGAGTACTGTGGAAGTAGTCGAATATGACATACAGTGGGGGTGATGGAAGTTTGAAGTCGGAAGTCGACTGCCGCTTAATAGACTTTTTTGCCGTATGAGTATACGTTTTCCGGGGTGCACCATGTGGAGGTAAGTCTATCGCACACCCCCTGATCAGAAATTGACCTCGCAAAACTGTGTAGGGACTTGATCAACGATAAGGGTTGGAAAGGGAATTCATAATCTTCAATTGTAAATTTAATGAGAATCGGATTTTTTAAATGTAAGTTGCTTCTTTGAAACTTTTTAGCGTAATATTTTTATGAGTGAGTATTTAGTTTGAACCTATCGTTGGTCGAGATTGCTAATTATACAGCATTCCGGTTTTCGAAAACGAAAGTCTGTATCATTTCGTAGTTCCTCAATTCCGTATTTAATGTTTCAGTTTGAAATTAAGAGGAGCATTTGAGGTATTGCTTGATATTTACAGTGCCTTGGAGTGCAATATTGAAATTTCCTTGTATAAACGAGAAAACATTTGGTTGACATTCCTTCGATAACACCAGTGAAACTAAGATTGATTGGATTGAAATATCGTCAAGAGGCTCGTTTGGAACATTTGGTTTTAGTCCACTTCACTCTGCTTTGGACCCAAAGCTTGAGGGCTTTATCAATTTTCCTCACATTGAGCTTTTACCCTATCAGTTAGTTAGCACGCCAAATCACAAGGTTTCTGCTTTACAATAGAAGCCTTCGAGCCTACTTTTGGAATCTCTTATTCCATCGCTTACGTTCTAAGACTTCAATGGTAAATATTTCAACTGCTTTACTCCCAGCAATATGTTCTATCGAGTTGAGTTTGTACAGCTGGGAAGGACTATAGTCCACACTACCATCTCTGTTCAACTGCTATTTACTGTTATTTACTCATTTCGTGCTGTTTCGTTTAGACTATAAACTATTTAGGCAGTCTGAGAGATAATATTAGGAATCTACTGCAGCTGCACTATTATAGCTTTAGTTGCTTAAAATCAAAGTATAAGATTTGTTATTCAAGCAACACTCATTTATACACAGGCTTAGGCTCAAAATTGGCTAGTTACCAGATCACTCATCCGCACGGGAATGAAAAGGTAGAAACGGAAGAAATTCTGATCAAACATCTCAAGAACTTAGCGATGTGCACTGAAAAACTTTGTTCGTTCGCTAAATTTCGGCATTGATTACTTTATGAAGCTTTCTGGCCTTTTATAAGTTGCAACCTAGGCAGTATTCTCTTTCTGTTTCAACTTCCAATAATGAAGTATCATAAGCCTTCATTTGAGACTTTTCAATCGCTTAGCTTATGAAGTGGGGAGGGGATGATAGGGTCGATTTATTAAAAAGTAGGTAATCCCGAAGCAATTATATCAATGTTATACCATCTATATATAAATATATATTAATGTTGTCCGAAAGGAGTTAAAACTTAATTCGCAGGTAGATTTCTAGAAATTATGCAGATTTCATTGGGAGTCTAAATTCTGGACTTCAGTAACTGAACAGGTGATTGCGAAAATTTTGTTCATTTATACTTTAAAATTACCATGATGTTATTTGGGGCTTTAATAATGTAAAACACCACTCATTTGATAGTAACTAAATCATGATAATATAAGGTGACTTCTTGGGATCTGACCTTAACCATTAAGCTGATAACAGGATACGCCTGATCGCAGATGCAAGCTCCCGATGATGACGAATAGCTGTTACTCATTACTCCTTCCTGCCCCAATAGTACCAAAATATGCCACAATTTGGTTAATTTTCTGGTTGATCTGTGTTTATTTATCTCAAAAGCAGTTATATATATATATATATATATATATATATATTTAAGTTGGGGTGTGCGATAGACTTACCTCCATGTGGTGCACCCTGGGCAACGTATACTCATACGGCAAAAAAGTTTATTAACCGGCAGTTGACTTCAAACTACCATAACCCCACTGGAAGCCATATTCTACCACTTCCACAGTTATTATCCTACCTTTTCTCTGCCTTTGTGTCTGTCTCTTTTACAACTGTTAACCACTCGCCTGTTCCCCATTCCTCGTCAATCTGTTACTTTGATGGCCCTTCCCCCTGTGAAGCCCGTAGTCAGCTAAGGGGCTAATGATAACTATCAAAACGCCTGCCATTTGAAATAAATAAATATATTTAGGTTGCGGTGATGCGAAAAATCATATTATCACCAACATGTACTTTTAAGGGAAAGTACCTTATTTGTATCCAGACTGCATCACCTTTGTTCTAACCGACAGAGCACAAATTTCAGACCGTAGATCGCAAATAGTGCATTTCGCTGCACTGTCTGAGTAGGAACATCTCAAATAGGGCAATGGATCTAGATTATCGTCAATTTACTCCTTTAGGTCAATTTTGCGGATTAGCGACGTAGGTAATCAAGAAAGGAGTTGCAAAATTTCCCCATTCCTATCGGGTCAATTAAACCAATTCGCTCTGAAATAGGGATCTAAAGGTGCAATATAAGACTGACCTCACATACGTTTGGTCGCGTTTGAAATTACGTGAAAATTCTGCTGAGGTTATTTATATTTATTTATATCAAACGGCAGACGTTTTGATGGTTATCATTAGCCCTTCAGTTGACTTCGAGCTTCACAAAGGGGAGGAGGAGGAATATCAAAGTGAAAAAAGTCGAGAGGATGGGGGAGGGGGAACTGAAGAGTGTTTCAAAGACGAAGGTTGAAAATTTAGAAAAAATGTGATGTAGTACTGTGGAAGTGGTAGAATATGTCATACAGGGGGCCTTGGTAGTTTGAAGTCAACTGCCGGTTTATAGACTTTTTGCCGTATGAGTATACGTTGCCCAGGGTGCACCACGTGGAGGTAGGTCTATCGCGTACCCCATTCTGCTGAGGTTATACATTGATTATTCACAGCTGGCCAAACTTTGAGTGAGCTTTAATTTTCGAAAAATAACGAATAGATTTGTAAATCCAAATTGTAATAACCATATATTTTGCAGTACTTTTTCCCACACCTTTCATAGATTAAAGGAAATGGAAATAATGCCTTTCTTAAAAATAATCGTCATTTTATTTGTGCAATAATTGTAGATTAAACTGGTTAGTAGTTATACAAGAGATGGTGGAACCAGAGTTTTAATCTTAGTTTAGAATAAAATTAGCCCAATTCAAGCTTGTAGGCTTTTCAAAATAGTTGAGCAATGAATTAGAATTCTTTTTCTCAGAAGTGAATCAATGAACAGCTTTCCAATGAATAAATCGTTAATATCAGGAATACATTGAAACATTAAAACGCGGTTCCTTAAGCAAATTTCTTCCCAAAATGATTTAAATTTCATTGGAAACACGTCGCTACTGAGGAATTGAAAGTAGGTTGCGAATTCTGTTTTCGTCAACATAACTGCACACTGAACAATGATGTTGAGCTTAATGGTACGAAGTGTACAGAACAGACGTGCTTAGAATTTATGATACAGGACATGAGTTACTTATTGAAGCGGTGGCAAACGAATCCTCAAAACGAAGTCCTACTTATATATCCATAACTTATATTAATCCATAACGCCTCAATTTGCAAGTGTGCCCTTCGTTGTAATATGCAGCATACTGCTGAGAAGATAAAAACAAATTTAAAAAGTGGCTTTGTTTTTTCTATTGGTAGATATTCTAAATCCATATCTACTCAAGTCAAAGTAGAAACCAAGGCATGAAATCAATCAAATGAGCCTCAATATTTGAAGTGTGTGCATAAGGGTTAAATGAGGATGGTCAATTCAGCCAGCACATATTATGTAAAGTGTAAAAGTAGAATTTATAAAACAAAGGCGTTTCCTCCTATCAAAGTAGTATATGAGCTATTGTAGCAGAAAATTACAAAATATCACGTAAGGCACGATGGTTCTAAAATGAAAGACACTTGTGGAAAACCATAGTCACATCATCCAATTAGTCCGTTTGAATCCTCTGGAAATGCCTTTGACAATTCTCAAGGCCTCGCCAGGAGTTAAGGCTAGGAATACGTAGGCAGTAAAATTAGTAGCCATTGAACAAGTGGTATTTCCTGCTATGAAGCTGAAGTACCGAGTAGACTTTTTATTCTGTCCAACAGCGGAGATTGAAGGATAAGTGAGTTTAAGATATGGCTCTTCCGGAACTGTGCTGATTTCAGAGTTTGGAAGGACTGGCCAGAAGGCCACATCAATTTCACCTAAAAAACGTTGAATCATCTATTTAATCAATATTCAAATAATTAGATGAAATTGATTTCAATTTCGAAGGCATGTGTTTAATTAGATAAACAAGAAGTGCCAATTAATAACCCTTTAAATGGCAGTCTGAAGAGAGCGGCTGGTCATTTAGAAGGTCCACAGAGTGCCAAAAGGGAAGAATTTATTCGAAGGACTGCAATATATTGACTTAATGAAGGAGAATTTCTTTTGAGTTCGCATCAACCAGTTACTCCGCACAGGCGATTTGCATAGGAAGTTTAAAGAAAATAGTAAGCGCTATCGCGTAAGTTAATAAAATGTACGAACGCATATGAAACTGCATAGATAGCGATCAGAAAACCAAAATGTTCATTTGCAATTTGCTAACTGACGACTTTCAAAAGATCTCTTATTTTTATTTTCATTCGAAACTGGAAGTAACGAGATAGGTAGATTTTTCTATTGCTTTCTAAGAATGTTGTTACCGAGCTGTTTAAATTTAGGAGAGGGCATCGTTGAACCTGTCTCGTTAAGGAGCTCTTCCTCAACGATTAATATCATACACTTGTCGGTCTTCCAAATTTTTAGACGTTACTTTGATCCCAAGGATTAGATGAGGCTGATACCCAAGGCAATGATTAATTATATTATTCATCAGGGTTTGTGCGATAGACTTACCTCCACGTGGTGCAACCTGGGCAACGTATACTCATGCGGCAAAAAAGTCTATTAACTAGGAATTGACTTCTGGATTTAAACTACAATGGCCCAACTGTATGCCATATCCTACCACTTCCACAGTACTCATCCTACCTTTTCTCTGCCTTTGTGTCTGTCTCCTTTGCATCTGTAAATCACTCTTCTGTTCCCCACACCTCGACTTTCTGTTACTTTGATGTTCCTTTCCCCTGTGAAGCCCGAAGTCAGCTAAAGGGCTAATGATAACTATCAAAACGCTAGACATTTGAAAAAAATATTTTTCATCAGTCAAATGGAGAGTTTAACCATGTAACATTTAACTTATAATAATGGACTTAAATCGATTTAAGAGAATTAACGCTCACAGATTACCCCCTAGGTTGGCTAAGTAGTTCCTCCAATTTTAGCTAGATGCAAATGGCTAAGTTATAGCCAATTTTGTTGAGTTCAAACAGATAGGTTACCTCCTAAACCGTGGGTAAGAGCCAGAATGACTTTAATTAAAAAAAATGCTTAGACATGTTATGCCGTCGTTCGACATCGAAGAAAATCCATGGGGCTACCAATTTATACCAATTTAGTAAACTTCAGCAAGTTTAAAATTCAATTAGAGGGATAAGCAAAAAATGAGCATATCGTCAAGGAGAATTTCTAAAGCGTATATGGTATAAGGCACTTATTCCTCCTTATTGCTGCCTATAGTGAATACTCAAAAATAGGGGAATCGTTTGAG